ATTAAAAAAAAAGAAAGAAAAGACTCAAATCTATGCAATAAGGAATGGAAAGGGTGAAGTCACAACAGATCCAGCAGAAATTCTGAGGATCATCAATACCTACTATGAGAACTCATATTCTAATAAAATTGAAAACACAAAAGAAATAGACAGATTCTTAGATTCCTATTAATTACCAAAGTTGAATCAAGAAGATATAGAAATTCTAAATAAACCAATATAAATCAATGAAATTAAAGTTGTTAATTAAAAACCTACCAACAAAGAAAAGCCCAGGCCCTGACGGATTCACTACTGAATTCTACAAAAAATTTAGAAAAGACCTAATGCTGCTACTTCTCAAACTCTTTAATGAAACAGAAAGGGAAACAATACTCCCAAATTCATTCCTGTGCCGGGTGTGGTGGCGCACTCCTGTAATCCCAGCATTTAGGAGGCTGAGGCAGGAGGAGGATCGCTGTGAGTTGGAGGCCAGCCTGGGCTACATAGTGAGTTCCAGGTCAGTCTCAACTACATAGTGAGACCCTGTCTCAAAAACAACAGCAACAACAACAACAACAATTCATTCTTGGAAGCCAGCATTATCCCGATACCAAAACCAGAGACAGATCCGACCAAAAAACAGAACTATAGGTCAATATCTTTAATGAACATAGACACAAAAACCTTCAATAAGATCCTGGCAAGCAGAATGCAGTAAATCATCAAGAAGATTATATACCATGACCAAGCAGGATTCATCCCAGGGATGCAGGGATGGTTCAACATATGCAAATCAATAAATGTAACACACCATATTAAAAGAGCCAAGGACAAAAACCATCTGTTCATCTAATAAATGAAGAAAAACTGTTTGACAAAGTGAAACACCCATTCAGGATAAAAATCCTACATAAAATTTGAATAGATGGTATTTATATAAACTGATAAAATCCATCTATGACAAATCAACAGCCAACATCATACCAAATGGAGAAAAAGTGGAAGCTTTCACTCTTAAAATCAGAAGCAAGACAAGGATGTCCATTATTACCACTTTTATTCAACTTTTTTTTCTTTCTTTTGGTACCAGGGATTGAACTCGGGACCTTGCACTTGAGAGACACGCAGTGGAACCAATGAGCTAAATCCCCGGCCCATCACTCTTATTCAATACAGTTCTGGAAACAGCCACAGCAATTGGACAAGACAAAGAAATAAAAGGAATAAGGATAGGAAAGGAAGAAGTTAAATTATCATTATTTGTAGATGATATGATACTCTACATAGAAGACTCCAAAAATTCCACCAAAAGACTTTTAGATTTGATAACCAAATTCAGTGGTGTAGCTGGATACAAAGTCAACACTTAAAAATCAATAGCCTTCCTGTATACGAATAACAAAATCACAAAGAGAGAAATTAGAGAAACAATCCCTCTTACAATAGCATTCAAAAAAATGAAATACCTAGAAATCAACCTAACAAAGGAAGTAGAAGACCTGTACATTAAAAACTACAGTACTCTGAAAAAACAGAAGAATATATAACAAAATGGAAAGATATCCCCTGTTCTTGGGTAGGAAGAACCATTATAGTGAAAAGGGCCACACTTCCAAAACTATTATACAGATTTAATGCAAACTCAATAAAAATACAGAGCATATCTCACAGAATTAAGAGAAAACAATCCTAAACTTCATTTGGAACCATAAGAGGCCTAGAATAGAAAAGCAATTCTCGGCAACAAAGGCAAGGCAGCAGGTAGCACAATTCCTGACTTGAAATTCTACTACAAAGCTATTGTGATAAAAACAGCATGGCACTGGAAAAAAAAAAAGACCTGAGGATCAATGGAACAGATGAGAAGATGCAGAAACAACGCCAAACACGCCTGGCCACCTTATCTTTGACAAAGGAGCCAAACACCTTCACTGCAATAAAGATAGCTTCTTTAAAGACCTGAGGATCAATGGAACAGATGAGAAGATGCAGAAACAACGCCAAACACACCTGGCCACCTTATCTTTGACAAAGGAGCCAAACACCTTCACTGCAATAAAGATAGCTTCTTTAATAAATGGTGCTGGAAAGACTGGCTTTCCACAGGCCAAAGGTAAAAACCAGACACATATTTTTCACCATGCATTAAATTCAAATCAAAACGGATCAAAGACCTAAATATTAAAACAGAAACACTAAATATGCTGGAAGATAGAATAGGCAGAACTCTTGAAGACATTCATGTTGGCAAAACTTTATGAACAAAACTCCAATTGCACAGGAAATATCACAAGGAATCAACAACTGGGATCTCACCTTATTAAAAAGCTTTTGCACAGCAAAAGAAACCACAAACAGAGTGAAGAGACAACCCACGAGTAGGAAAAAATTTTTGTCAGCTGATCCTCAAAGGACTAATATCTAGAATATATAAAGTACTCAAAAAAAAAAAAATCAGACCTCCCAAATTTAAAGACCCAATCAAATAATGGGCACCAGAAAGGAATAGACACTTCTCAGGTGAAGCAGTAGAAATGGCAAATAAATATATGAAAAAAATGTTCAATATCATGTCATTGACAGATGCAAATGAAGACAATGCTAAGATTTCATCTCACTCCAGAAAGAATGGCTATTATCAAGAAATCAACCAATAATAAATGCTAGTGGGGATGTGGGGAAAAAGGAACCCTTTCCCACTGCTGGTGGAAGTGTAGACTGGTTTAACTACTACGGAAGTAAGTCTGAAGATTCCTTAAAAAAGTAAGACTAGGGCCAGGAATTTAGCTCAATGGTGCTTTGCCTGCCTCACAATCACAAGGTCCTGAGTTTGGTCCTAGTACAAAGAAAAGAGAAAGAAAAATTCCCTAAAACTAGAGGTCCCATTTAACCCAGCTATTTCCCTTCTTGGTATCTTCCTGAAAGAATTAAAATCAACATACCATAGCAATCAATATATACACACCCATGTTTATAGTAGCACAGTGTTTATAATAGCTAAATCTTGGAAACAGCCCAAATTCCCATCAATCAATGAGTGGATAAAGAAGAAGATTTTTTTTTTTTTTTAACACCATAGAGTACTACTTTGCCATAAAGGATAAGCTTGAGACACTTCTAACTAAACGGATGAGTGGACCTTGAGACCATACTCTTAAATGAAATAAATCAGACACACACGTTTAAATACCATTTTGTTTCTCTGGCATGAGAAACTGAAAGTGGAAATAGGGACTAAAATGTATAATAGATATTGGGAAATGTGAAGAAAATATTCAAATGAGAAATGGAATAAAGGAGGGGGGAGGGAGAAGGGAAGGAAGGGACAAAAAAAAAACAGAAGGAAAAAATGGAAACAAAGCTTTTGTAAATAAGGAGTTGGGAAGTGGGGTTGAAAGGAGGGGAGGAGATGGGGAAAAATGAAGAAGCAAGATATATCATGTACAGGTACATATTCCCTATGATGAATGTGATCTATATATATCTAAAATGTACCAATAAAATAAATTAAAAGTAAAATTAGTGGGCAAAATCTTAAGGAGAAACAGGATATAGGCATAGTGTCAAAGTATTTCAAGATTTCTATTATAATATAGGGGAAAAAATAACAGCTTTCCAGGGCAGATGGCTGGCAGGTGCTGCCTTGACCAGCGAGGCTCACTTCACAGTAGCTGGACTTGTCCACACCATGTACACCTGACAAGATGCCCTGCATTTGGGACAGTGTTACTTCTGTGCTTTTCTTGCCAAAGAATGCATTGCCTCACTCTACAAGAAAACACCAGAAAGACTCAGACAAGGACATCTACAAAATAACTGGCAAGTAGTCTCTAGATGTCCAGGTCACAAAAGATAAGGAGAGACCAAGGAACTGTCACAAATTGAAGGGGACCAAAGAGTCAGACAATCTAGAAGTGTGGCAGTAGGAGAGGGCAAGTCCCAGCATACTCACAAGATGGAACATTAGGCTGCAGGGAAAATGAGATATACCAGGTGAGTATATCTCAAACTGCCTGGCGACAAAGGGAAGTCCCAGAAGACTAGACAGGAAGAGACCATTCATTTAAAGTGTGAAAATCTGCAAAACTCAAGGCTCTATTGCTTGAAAGTAAATATATGTTACAATAAAACTGCAAAGCAAAGCCAGGGACAAATAATGTGAAACTTGGAATTTGGGCGCTCAGGGCAAAGACACAAAGAGGGCAGCAGTGTTTCTGGAGCCTGAACACACTGGGTATGTATCAGGGTCAGCCATGCATGCCTGCTCTGGTCACGGGAAGATCAGTATGTCTCTTTGCATACTGTCAACACGGAAAGGTAGTTAGGCAAAACCAAAACACCCAAACTTTCTGATAATAAACCCAAGCTAACATAGTCTAGATGACTAAGACGACTAGCTAGCCCTTTTATAACTTCAGACCTTAAAGCAGAAGCATCATATCTGAAGGGAACATAGCACAAAAGGGGCCACATGCTTCTATGCTTGACCTGGAAATGCTCAGGATCTGCTGTCCCCACACCCCCAGGTGGAGAGCTGTGTGCAGGGAGACAAGATCTCCAGTTGCACCAATCTTTCATATTTAAAAAATTTTCTTTTTCCTTGAACAAAAGTGTTTAGCCAGAGTGAACTGTGCCCCCTCTTGAACCATTCAGTTGCTTAATTGGCTTCCTTGTGTGTTCTTGTTGTTGAATATTAGGATCTATAGCAATGCACAGCTTGCTTATGGTTTTACAAGGGTTTTTTTGTACCGGGGATCAAACTCAGGATCTTGTGCTTGTGAGGCCAGCAGTGGAACCACTGAGCTAAATCCCCGGCCCTGGTTTTAGTTTTTAAGGAAATTCTACTTAAGGGCAAAATATCAGGTAAGCTATATATAAGCACACCCATAATCTCAAGGTATACTCTGGGCAGTGGAGGTAGGAGGATGGTTAAGTTTGAGCCCAGCCTGGGCAACTTAGTGAGAGCCTGTCTAAAAAGAAAAAAATAAAAAAGGAGGTAAAAGCAGGAGCTCACTCACCAGCTGGAACTCACTCCTGCGGCTGAAAGCCTCCCGGATCCCAGAGTCCCCCCAGAGTGCACTCAGAGCTGGCACATAGAGCTGGAAGGTGGCAGGTTCCACGGGAAGCCCTGCTTTGTTCTCGAAGGCCATCAGGAACATCCCGTGCTTTTCATTTTCAGAGTGCTGCCAAGGAATGCCAAGCTTGTCTCGTGCATCAACAAGCACCCTTGAGCCCTAGGAAATAAGAGAAGGCAAAAAGATTTAATTGTGCTCTAAGACTAAATTTTAAACAAGAACCTCCCTGGCTGTCATAAAGTAGAACACTCTCAAACTGTCAAGTTTGCAACCAGAATTCATCTCATGGCTTGTTTTGTCACGGCACAAATAATTGAACTCCTAGGACCACAACCTTTTGGAGACAGACAGAAAGACAGACACACATGCATGCACACACACATGCATACACAGAAGATGGTCTTTCCTTCTCCTTGTATAAAAAGCACTGGAAAGTGGCCAGCTGACGGGGGAGGAAGCACAACACAGTGAATTTCACTGGAAAATCAGCTGCATTATAAAAAAGACAGTGGCCTGAGAACATTTACAACAATGACTAGCACTGTTTCTAACATCACCCCTGAACCCCGCAGCTCCTAGAGGACACAGCTGATTGTCCCCACTTAAAATACATGGGGGAATGTGTGCATAGGCATTACAGCCACAAGACAGGACCAAACAAACCAGGACAGAAGCCAAGCTAGTCCACAAGGCACATGAACCTGTCCTCAGACTAATGCTACTGCTGTTTGTGGCTGTGAGAAACCATTTTCCTTTCTTTTCCTTCTTTCCTCACTGTTAAAAATAAAGTTGGGCCAGGTCTGGCAGTGCACACTTGTAATCCCAGCACTCCAGAGGCTGGGGCAGGAGGACTGCTGCAAATTCAAGGCCATTCTGGGCTACATAGTGAGTTCAAGGCCAGCCTGAACTACAAAGGGAGACCTTGCATGAAAATAAATAAATAAATAAATAAATAAATGGACAGATAGATAGATAGAAAGAAGAAAACAAAGACAGTAAATTGTCATTCTCTGCCCTTTTCTAACCTTACAGACACGTTGAAGGGATGGAGAAACTGCCTAAAATATTAGGGAAAGGAAACTGCCTTGCTGGGCAGCAAGCAGGTCTGCCTCGTCCTACTCCAACAGTGTGTCCAAAGCAGCCAAGAATGTCTCTGAAGGCACCTGAGCCCTCTGGGCTCACAGGGCCCCTGCTTGGTCAGTACAGAGCTGCAGAGACGGGAGGAGGCAGAGAGAGGTGTGTGACAGGAAAGCCTCCGCCTCAAGGTGGCTGGCAGGCTGGGACCTCCAGAGCCATCACTCCCACCTAGTACTTAATCTTTTTTTTTTTTGAGACAAGGTCTTGCTAGATAGCTCACATTGACCTCACACTCACAGTAATCCTCCTGCCTCAGTCTTCCAAGTGCTGTGACTGTAGGCATGCATCACCATGCCTGGCTTTTTAAAAATAAATATTTTATTTTTATCGGTACATGTTTGTACTTTATAATGATTACATTCCTCGTGTGGAATTGATATATGTACATAACACACCTTAATTCTTTCTTCACCCCTCCCCCTATCTTTTTTTTTTTTTTGAGGGTACCGGGTAGAACTCCGCTCCTTGCGCTTGCGAGGCAAGTGGTGGAACCACTAAGCTAAATCCCCGGCCCTTGCTATATCTTAATCTTCTTTTTTTAATATTGGCCTTACTGTAAGATAACTCCCATACCAGCCAATTCATCCCTATAAAGTGAACAACGTTATGCTTTTAGTTGACACTTACTCTAAAAGGCTTTGTTGCCAATGACTGGTGCAGAGCAGATGTGTCAGTGTGGCCCTGCTCCTGCCTTGAACAATGCCTGTCTGGACAGAGGTATCCCTTAAAGTGTCTGCTGATGGGCTCAGTGACTGACCAAGCCTGCTTCTGTAAATCCACACACAATGGAAGAAAATATTTGCCAAACAAATATCTGACAAAGGATTCATGTATTGACTATATAAAGAACACAGTTCTAAATTCAACAGTTACAAAAAACAAGCAATCCAGTTAGAAAATGGGCTGAGGACATGCTGAGGATGTTACTGGAAGACAAATACAGATAGCAGATCAACAGGTGAAGGATGGTCACTCTCACTGGGAGAAAAGATCACAGCATTCCCTAGAGGCAGTGAGGATACAGGGAAGCTGTGGCTCTCACACAGTGTTGGCAGGGGTGGAAACCTGTGCAGAGTTAAACTTACACTCATCACACTAGGAGGCAACTTCACTCCTGGGCACTTGTCCTGAAGAAATGATAACCAAAGTCTATACAAAACCTGTCTAGTGATGTCCACAACAGCAAGATGAACAAAGCTCCAAGCTGGGGAACAAAATGGTGTACACTCATACCACGGAATATTACTCTACAATAAAAGAGGCAGATTAGGCTGGAGGTGTAGCTCAGTAGTTACCAAAAAAAAAAAAAAAAAAAAAAAAAA